CCCCCTTCACACACACACTCTGTTTCTCTCCATCGCTGCCTTTCTTTGCATGCATGTATATGTGTGTGGAGTCGGCTGACTGAACGCAGGCCATACACGTTCAATCCACACGTCGTTTGGTCTGTGATGGGAGGCAGTCAGAGGAGACAACGCTGCAGAGCTGTTCATTTAAACTGAATGGCCATTCCAGCAGGTATAATGTAGACGTGTGTCTCCATCATTCACATGCCTTGAGTAAATCTTGATCCATCTGAGGTAGATTGTATTTCCCCCTGATTTATCTAATGAGCTTTCCCCTGCACTGTTTCCCCCCCACAGTAATCTAATCAGACGCTTTTAAACCTCCACTCCAGTAACCCTATCCACACCACAGCCTACTTACCAGGGATTTAGTTTCTTGATTCTTTGATTTCTGAATGTGTTTTCTTTTTCCAGACGACATTCATTTAGAAAGAAAAATCTACTGTTCATTATTTCCATTCAGACATTCACAAAGAAGATAAATAGGGAGGGATTTCTCAAGAGTTTGTGGGTTCATCTGGGTGTAATCAATGTGACTCAATCAAATTCCTAAGGGACACACACATAAAGCAGTGTTATGTTATATGTCATCGGCGGATGTAACCGACGTCTGTCTTCTAAGGTTGAAAAATGAGTCTACTTCCAAGCAGCCACATACAGTATAACTCACCGACAACAAACTACAAGACCCACTAAGTGAACTTGTCTACTGTTCTTCCGAAACACAGGCAATTTTAGGTGTCAAACTTACAGTAAACAATCAAATTTTGTAGTTCCTCATATTTGTATTGGAATCACGAGTGTGTGATATGATTCTCCCGTGAACACAGATTTCCTCTAGCACTATAATTAGTACGATTTTATTTCTATCCATTCTGCACGTATAATTAATTTATATTCTGTGGTAGGCTTTGAAACTGCTAGTTACTCCTCCCAGAAGTGCGACTGATTAAGAAGACTTACAAATTAGTGCATCTATAAAAAGCAAAGAGGAAAATCACATTATTTGGTGGAGCACAAAAGGAATCCAAAGATGTGGAGCGCAGGGTCTGTGCTTCAAACGGAGGAGGAGGCTTTTTCATCAGTCCAGTAAGGCATTGTAAATACACAACTCTAACAAAAAAAATGTATGACTCACATTCCTAATAAATATTCATCATTTACTTTTATTTGAATTAAACGAATCAACACCCTACATCTGATTTAAATAAATGATGTGAAAATGTGCAAAACACATCTAAACCTGACAGACGTACGGATCGTTTTATGTGAACTATTTACTGGAACTCATTAAGCACTGCAGTTATATATCAGGCAGATCCGAAGTCCAACCCAGGGGCCAGTCTTGGTCCTTGATCAGGTTTTATGAGGGCCCCTGACTTTAATGTGTATTATTTATAGCCTGTCAGGATCATCAAACAGAACTCATACATCATACCTTCCCATGTATTAATCTCTTTCCTAAGGTGTGCAGCAGCTACTGTCTCTCCCAATGGTTTACTTTTTTTTTTTTTACTATTGATGCTTTTTAGAACTAGGGCAGGGAAAACTGACTAATGTTATTGAGTATCAAGTTGTTTAATGATGGGACATTTTTTTTACAAATAAAAATGTTTGGATTCATTTGTTCGGAACTATTTTACAGTCCCTTTTTTTTGGAGTTTTGAAAAGCTAATTTGAAAACAAAACAAAACATAAGTTTGATTTCAGGTTTTAATTGTGCAACATCTGCTCTTCTCCCACTGATCCTCACAATGTTGAAGGATCTGCTTCACTTCCCTCTATTTGTTTACATGTATAAAGGGAACGTATTGATGAAGTGAAAGTTGTCCTTTTAATAGGACGATAGCAGTTAGTCATTTTAGGTATTGGGGGAAACTTTTGTCCTTCACTAGAGTCGTGCCAATTTTGTACCAAACCAATGTACTGTACGTCCTTTAAAACAATATAAAAGTTCCTTACTTTTAAGAACAGGAACACAGACGCTCATAATAAAATAGGTTATCCAAATATAGACCATTAAATAAAGGTAAAAAAAAAAAAAGAAAAAAAAAATCAAGAAGAGCATCTAGATTTTTCAGAGCAGCTACAAAGCAGCAGAGAAAGTCCAATAAACAATATTCTGAATGTTCACCGACCACTTCCATGTCTTTGATCTTTTCTCACTCTCAGGCATCACTTCTTCAAACACACCTCTGGCCTATTTACAATTCAGGACAGACTTGAGAAAAAGAATGTCTTCACCAGTAACATCATCAACTCTGTATATTTAGAGGCCTGCCTTGTCACCTTCTTGGTGCGATTAGCAGCCAATACAGGGATTTAGCCACCTAGCTTTCAAATATAGAGCCAAAATGCACAGACAATGTTCAAAGTGATATACAATAAGAATTATTTGCATCAACACAAGTGTTTGTAGTCCTAGCCAGGTGCTGCAAATCAAAATCCTAGGACAGTGAAGGCATCGCTGTTCTGCTAGACCTGTGGTTTGCAAGGGTAGCTTACGAGTTAGATATGAAAGGTACACAGAGGGCGTTGCCAAAAATGTATAATGTAGGTATATGTGAACTACAGTTGCACCTCGACATACAAGTGTTTCGAGATACGAGCAAGCCTTGGAGCAAATTCTTGCTTTGAGATACGAGTTAAGATTTGAGATACAAGCACGGTTAGAGACGCCAACGCTAGGTGGCCGAGCACTCGGAGCAGCCCACGCAGCCTCACTTGATTACGTCACGTGTTCGGCGACTTCCGTAAGCATCGCTTCTGTATATAGCGTTATCTACGGGATTTTCTCTTTATTTTGTGCATTATTCTTCATAATAGTGATGAGTCTTGAGAGAGTGAGTGATAAGGATGGTAGAAGAAGAAGAAACGCAAGATGACCATGGAAATAAAACATGAAATTGTCGATAAAGTAATACAAATCTAAAAAAGCAAAAAAATAGAAAAAAACAAAACAAAACATAAGTTAAGGTTTAAGCAAAAAAATAGAAAAAAACAAAACATAAGTTAAGGTTTTAAGTTTATGTAAGTTTATGTAAGTTACGTAGTGTACGTGTAAGGTACATTACGGAATCAAGTGTCTACGTACAGGCCACCTCTCTTCCCTTCCCTTCCCTATCATTTCAAGTGGTTACGTTTGCTGAGTCTTCACCTCATATGTAACTATACTAAACAGGTGCATACAAAAGTAAAACAAAGAATCAGGGAGGGTCAGTAAAAACTTCAAGGAAATACAAAATGTATTTTAATATATAGAAAATGTTGCATTTTGACTCGTATTTCTTCAGGAGGTTTTAAAAGTCCAGGGACACCTGTCTACATTGTCCCAGAAATCAGCTGAACATGATTTATTCATCTGAGTCATATGGACAGTGGACACCTGCCTTCGGGGACTAACCTGGCCTGCAGCAGCAGCAGCAGCAGAAGCAGCAGCAGCAGCAGCAGCAGCAGCATTCTGCACCTGTTTTCACTCCTATCCCTCCTCTAATGTCACTCACACCTGAATCCAGACGGCTTTTAGGCTTGTCACACCAGACAGGAGAGCCATTTGTGTTGAGCTGGAGATTTACTGGCAATCTGGCCTAAGTGCCATGCTCAAGGGCATGGTGGCACGATATACAATGTGGCATTCTGACTCTCAGACTTCCACTTAATCTTCACTAGTGAGAGGCAGCGGTGGTGCTTCTGCTTTGGCACATCTGTCACTTGTCACATGATGGAAGGACAACGATCCTCCACATACTGTACATGGACAAAAAAAAAAAACCACATAGATGTTGGTTTTAGGGTCTATAACTCGATAACTGTGGATTACTGCAGTATATCTAACAAA